GGCCCCTCGCTCTCCTTCAGCTTTCTGTGACATCCTTCCACAGGTTTAAAGTAGAGTCATCTCTTTCACTGCCTGATCATCGCCACCAAATCAACGTATGTTCACACATATTCCAGGCATCCCAACCTTGCACCAGTTAAGTAATAAGTGATTTTTAAGTAATAGCCACACAATTTTTAAAATGCTTCACAGAATGGTCACGCTCGCTCCACATCTTTGCAAAAATAAAAATGTTTTATAGTGTAAAATCCATGATTATGCAGTGAACTATGGTGTCATTTCCTTGACCTATGATGTCCTGGGGATTCCACTGAGTTTATAGATCAGTGCAAGGAGGCGGTTGGATCTTCTGCCCATGCCAACCACAGCAGGAGACCAAAGATAAACATGATTTCAGGTGACAGTTCTCATCCTTCCAGGGCAGTGCATCTTTGGGGGCTAAGCATTTAGGCTGTGCCTGGGGTGCATGGTTCTCCGTCACTGTTTGCCCTGTCAATCAATTCAGCGTGGGTGACCCAGGGCCGGAACCCACCCTGCAGAAGTCAGGGTTTCAGATCTGCTCATCTCTGCCTTTCATAACAACTACTCCAAACAGTTTGGCCCCTGGGTGTCATCACTCAGCCTGAGACTTGACAATGCAGCCCTCATTCAATAAGCCACCTGAAAGAGAAGTGGGTGGGGAGTCATCTAGCCAGAGCAGGTGGGCTGGGCACCTAACACTTATCATCCTTCCTGCAGAGCTCGTCTCTGGAGCTCAGGGGATGTCCAAGTTCAGAAATGTCAGGACAATCCATCAGTCTGAGATGTTGACTCCAAGTGAAGTAACATCCTAAGCTTATAAAAGATGGGACCTTGTTTCCCCATATCTGCCAATCTGATTTGCAGGTGGTTCAGCCCCACGACCTGAGGAAGTTAGAGTGACTGCTTCAGGCCTGCACTCCCAGGGCAGCAAATGCACTGGGCACTCAGCACAGCAGAGAGCTTTTCCAGGTGGAGAGTGCCCTCTGGCAGACACTGCGGAACTCAGGAGCTGGCCGAGGGTCACTGCCTGCAGCAGGTCCACAGGGAAGATTGACAGGCAGCCCATGAGCTTCACCTTCAAGAGGCCTCCCAGGTAGGACAGTACCAAGGTCCTTCACTCCAAGCACCTCTGGCACAGGAAGAAGTCACGACAACCAACACTGACCAGCTCAAGGCCTTTCTCAGAGCAAAAGAGGCCAGACCTAAAAAAAAAAAAAAAAATCACAGGTTAATTGATTCCCAAAAAGTAAACAGCTGCAAAAGGGCAGAGAACAGAGTGGAGAATCCGCAGCAGAGGAGGGTCTGTGGGGTGGGGCAGAGAAGGTGGGCGAGGCTCCCCTAGTCCTTTACGTTGCCACGGTTACTCAGGAGCATGTACTAATCAAAACTCACACACCTGAAATGGGTGCAGGCAGGCTGCTCACGGGTAAGCCAGGAAGCCAAAAGTTGGGCTGTCACAGAACCCCCAGGCAAGTTGCCACACAGGAGAACGCTGTGGATGGGCACATGTGGCTGGGTACCGCCACCAGGTTTCTCAGCCAACCACCTAGAGACGCTCCAGACAGGTCACAGCTGCTTGCCCCTCTGCATTCCTGGGCCACTCAGGGACCTCCTCTCCCCGGGAGAGGACTCTGTGGTCCTGGTAATAGATGACTGGCCTCCTCTGGCCACGCCTCTCTTTTCTGCTCGCTCCCTGCTCCCAGGAGGGCTGTTCCAAGGCCAGCACTGCCTTCCACAAACTCCGGACAGAAAGCAAAACCCAATCTCCTCCCAGCACTTCATGGGGATTCGTGTATCCAACACTAACCCTCTGATCGCCATGGAGGGGAATGTGCTGCCCTGACTGCCCTCCTCTGCCTGAGGGTCCTCCAGGCCCTGACTGGACCACCATCCTCTGCCTATGAGGGTCCTCCATGTCCCCTGACTAGACCACCATCCTATGCCTGACAGGGACCTCCAGGCCCTGACTAGACCATTATCCTCTGCCCAGGAGGGTCCTCCAGGTCCCTGACTGGACCGCCACCGTCTCTCAGGTACTGTAACTCTCTAATTTGATGAAATCTGCAGCATTGTGAAAGAAATGTTTCGAGATTTGCAGATTCCATGATGGACAGACGGTCCAGGGAGGCAACTGTCTGCTAGAGGCCAGTTGGCTCTGACCCCTGGGGTCACTCAGCAATGCCTCTGCCTGAACTTTCACATCCCTCTTCTGGATCTGTGAGTGTCCATGTCTGGTCTCTCCTGCCGGCTGGTTGTGACCCCTTCCTTGTCTCCCTTGGGACAGGATAGAACAGGCAGGCCCAAATGTTCTGGTCCTCATGTCCCTGGGACACTGTGACTTCACTGTTCTGAGGATTCCCCCTCAGTACCTGATATTCAGGAACACCAGTAACTGGTGGGGTGGGAGGTCGCTGATGGCCCTTGCCACAGGGAGATGGCCGACAGCTCCCTTTGTCACCAACGTCTGGATTAGGGACCTCCCACCACTGTGGCACTGCCATCCTAGAGCCTAGCCCCCGGGGTGAATGCCCCTGGCTTGTGATTGTGTGACACATGGGATGGGTGGGCATAGTGAACGATATCTCTGGATTCACACTGATGGATGTCACTCTCAAATCCTGACCCATGCCAGGGAGGATGGCTGACATGGTGTCTCTGTGCCAGTACTCGGCATTGCCCAACGGAGGCTGGGCAGGTCCCCCGAGTCATGTATGCAGAGATCCAGGGCATCACTCCAAAGGAGCTCGGCAGCCTCTGCAGCCGACTCACGCTGGCCTCTGCGGGGCACCACTGTCCCCTTGTTGTCACCTCAGGGTCTTCCTCCCCACAACCCAGGGAGCGTCCTTGCCGGGGGTAGGGGCTGCTGTGGCCACTTCTCCCTCTCCTTCCTTAATGTCCCTGTGACCAGAGCCTGGGCTCAGGTCAGTCCCACCCTCCCTTCCCCTCTGTACTTTTCTGGATCTTCCTCTTCCAGCTGCGTGTCGGAGAAGGGAAGAGGAGACCGTCAGGCAGCCTCCTCCACAAGGGTACAGCCATGTGTCTCACCCCGGCACACCTGTCAGCTCTTCCTTAGGGACTGCACCTCCAGTCACAGAGCTGCCGTCTTGATCAGCGAGGCCAGCGAGCATCCTGAGGCAGAGGGGTCTGGTTAAGCCACCGACTCTTGGACCACTGGATAGGAGGCCGCCCTGCCGTGCCTGTGCCGTGGCCTGCAGGGGAGCTCTAGTTAACAGCCGGGGTTCTCCAGAGAACCCGAATAGAGAGAGAGGGGAGGGGAGAGCGGGGACGGTGATGGGCTATTGGAGCCTCTGTGGAGGCCCTGGGAAGGCCTGTGTTCTCCAAGCCTGAGGCCTGAGACTCCTGGAGCCATGGT